ATTGGTGCAGGTGGAAGGGAATCCGGGCCAGCGGCACGAAAACTATTAAGGGCTGTGATCGCATTTTGGACCTCCGCCCCCGTCCATGGCACGTCCTGCATCACCTGAGTAGGAAGAGGTCCGGAAGCAAGGGGCCAGCTGAACTGATCTTGAAATTGTTCCGCCCAGCGAGCTATACGGCGTTTTTTATTGTGTATCAGTGCACCCGTGCTGTCTCTGATTGTCTCACTGACTCCTGTTTTCCTGGGACCAGTGGTGCGGATTATCTGGAAGAGCTTGCGGTAATTGCCTACTGCTCCTACTTCCTCCATTTCTTGAGCCCGACTAGTCCACCAGGCTTCCTTGTCAGCACGTAGGCTCTGCTTTAGTTCCCGCCTAATAGGCCGTCTGGCCACATTGTGCTCAGAGTCAGCTGGTAGATTTCTTCCGGATTCCAACAGGTTCACCGACCTCTCGGATATCCAGTGACTGGTGTGGTGACGATTGATAGTGCCACAAGCAGGTTCTCCTGCGTCATGCTTGACGGCCGTGATTCTATTCCACTGAAGCTCAGTGTCATTAGGACAACACAATGAATATTCGGCACGCAGGCTTGTCTGACGGAGGGCTGGGACAATTTCTCAGTTGCCAATCGAAGGAGGCGCTTGGTGCTCCTCCCGGTAAACCTCATGGAGAAACGACAGCATATTAAGGCATGATCAGAGTCGACGCAGGTTTTCCAGGATGGAACCACGCCACCTGTAACTTATGACAATGTGCTCAATTCGGGTCCATCGCTGGCCAGCTACAGGAGGACGCCAAGTGGCACTTCGGCGCCCACTGTGTTTAAAAGCAGTGCTAATAAGAAAGAATTGGTGCTCCGCACACAGTTGTAGCCGACGCTCGCCATTGTCAGTCCGTTCAATTAAGCCCATAATTACCACTGAGCTGAGCTTCTGAAGAGCTCATACGCCCTACTTGTGCGTTCATATCCCCTGCAAGTACTATAATATCGGAACTGGTAGCACTGCGTAGTAGCTCGTTCAGTTCGTGGTACAATGTGTCCTTTGACAGCATTAGAACTTCAGTCGGTGGGAGCATAAGCAGAAACCACGAACAAACAGCGTTTTGTACTACGTGAATAAACCTTAGCTGATGTCGTCAAACGGGCTGCACCTAAACGGCTGTTCACCGGAATCCAACCAACGAACGATGGCTTAGAATGATACCTACACCAGCTTGACCCGTGAGTGCTGCATCGGCGTCTCCGGATGCGTGCAACCAATAGCGAGAAGACAAGCCTGGTGCAGTTATTTCAACAGCCCCATGAGTGTCATTAATTCTATTTTCGGACACGGCACACATCGATACACACTTTGTCCAAGGTGCGTACGAGTACAGCCTGTTGACCTTAGTGTGCGAAGGTTGAACACCGCCATGGAAACTGGACAGTGTGGCCTTATAAGGGGCTGTTGCCGATAGGCGTCCGATGGGTGTTGTGAGAAGGTAGGTGCAGATGCTTCTACTCCAGTGGCAATTCGCTTGTTGTTAATTAAGCTGGGAATTATAGAAGGAAGGTTAGTAATGGGGGTCGGGATGGGAGTAAGAGAAGCAGGTGGAAAAGAATGGAGACGCCAGCAGTAGCAGGTTTTCGCTTATTCACCTTATTCTATGCAGCAGATAGAGTGACCCTTGATAGTCTACGCGACGGCCGATGAAGGATGAAGTTTATGTTTGAAGAAAATGTCATGGTTGTATATGAGCCGGGATACTGCCAGGGCGCCTAGACCTAGACAGGAGGGCGATAAGGGTCCTCACCCAAACTCTGGCTCAAAAGCCTGTCCGCAAGGCAACTTAGAGGTGGCAAAGTTTTACTTTCACAGAAATAGATGCCATTCCATTTCAAGCCCCGAACCTGGAGGACCAGGGGACTGAGCTTGTCTGAGCTCTCGCCATTGATCAACTTGGTAGGAGTAGCTCTCATCCAATATAGCTCAGTGGGTCAAGGTGGTACGCAAACTGTCCCACCACGTTGATTTCCAGTCTCGTTTGCTCTTGCCTGCGTCGCAAGATGTTGGAGCATGCTCTTAATCAACCTTGTCTGGCTTCCTTCAAGTTACTTCTGTCTATACTGAATTATTGCGTTGAGCTCCTTAACTGAAAACGGCGTTTTTAAGTTCTCTGAGCGAACATTCTTCGTCGCTTACTGGTTGTGGTCACTAAGTTCGCGCTTGGTCATTGTGCTTGACTGTTCTAAAAGCTTACTGCTCCGGTTCGCCTATCAAGAGGGCAAGGTTTGGGGTACCAGTTTTATGGCCGCTAGACACTAGACTATCACATGATGTTGATGTATGTATGGATTCATATTGACCTTTTTGAACGTCATCTGTACTTTTTCTTCATGCAATCTAATTATTCTGCTTTGTTTACGGAAAAGGGATGTAATTACGTCTGGGTAGCGTTCACTGATCCGTTCCACAGTAGGTGCACCTCCTAACAGTACATATACACCTTGTCAGCAACATACGATCAGAAACGGCTGACTGTGGTGCAAAGATTAGGCGGAATCGGTAAGACAGGTTCTTTGGGGCTTTCACTGCATCTCACCATAATCCGGCTTTACTCCACACACAACTCAGCACCAAAAACAGGCAGCTCGAATGGGAGACGACAGCCGACGCGCCACTGGTGCTGACTGCGTGCCATACTCTGTAACGTTCCGAGCCTAGCACAAGGCGGGTCACGTAGACTCCAGCTTTGAAGACAAGACAACCACATTTCCCATTTTGATCGTCAATGACTTTATTTCACGCTACCAAGTTAACCTGTGCACACCCCTAAGCTTGCATCATCTTATATCTAGCAAGCAAAACAACTTCCTTCTCATAACCTGTGACAGGGTACGTACTCAAACCGAGGTGACTTATTTAGTACCGTCTGTTGTTCTAAAGAACAAGGCTAGATATCACCGCCTTGCACTCGCCTACCCACAATCATTGAGTTTGCACTAATGACAGCCGATACCAGCAGCGCTTCGCAAGTGGCGATGATCAAGGATTTAAAGGTGGCTCAGATCCACTCATGGAAGAGGCTTTAGTCTTACATCCTCACTGCAGCTTTGCGAATACGGCCTTGTAGATTGACGGAAACCTCTTTCTGACACCGCAGATGTTACAGCTTCAAAAATGCAGTTCTCGCTTATGCAATACCTGAACTGACTTCAGAAGCCACTCATCTATCAAGTCTTTTGCTAACAAGGGTCATAAAATGCCTGTTCACCCCGCTAGAACGCTTTGTACTTTGAAGTTGCGAAGCGCATGTCATATGTCAGGATTAAACTAGAGAGGTTATTCAAAGCTGACTGTGTTTCCCCAACATCTGTAAACAGCAAAACAATGATAAAAATCAACATGCTTTCCGCCAGACAGCACGTCTACGTATTGGGATTCTGCAAGGGAACACTCCATGATGGAGTCCAGGCTAAATTGGTACAAAACGCAATGCACGCCAATACTCCTGGTGTCCAACGTGTGCGCAACTACACCCTATTTGATCATATCTTGATGTACCAAAGTTCAGCTCCACTATAGAAGCATGGCTGCTTGACCCGATAAGGTGCTGCTGTGATTGGAGTCCAGTGAGTACGGGGAGGCGATATCTGAAGATAACAGGCTCCGGATACTGGGTCCGTAATGGTAGTCGGGATAAGTGCACTATAAAATGGAAAAGAAAAGAATGTTGCTGTCGCCTAACTGTCGTGCTTCATACAGCAAACAAGGCAATCCAAATGAGACTGGTGTTGAAGTTAGCTGAAATGTGCTTCATGGCTGCGAATGGGTTATGTACCAATGTTTAGGCAGGAGTACGACCAGAAGTCTTAGTCGAACTGTTCTGTTCAAATTACCAAGACAAAATGAGAATGATGCAGCGACGAGGCTGGGAGAATATTCCTTCTATGTGCTTACTAATGCATAACAGGAGAACAGGAACCTTTTTGTTGATATGCACATTTAATGTATGTAGAGTTACTTGTGGTCCGGGATATCGATGAGTCCCCTGGGAACCAAGTGATGCGATCTAACGATATTCAAGAGACCGGAAGGCACGATTTAGAACAGTTGCGTTTCATTCGTGAAACACTTTATTTTGATAATATTATGGCGCCATCGAAGGATCTAGACGAATGCGAACCTGCATCTGCTTCAGAGTGACCTAGATACGGCATATCAATGGTCAACACAAAACACTGCATTTCAGCGTCAGTAAATGCAAGGTACTTTCCATCCGACATCAGAGCGGATACTCATCCCGGCTCGGAACGAATAAACTGCAACAATCAATTGTCAAACGTGATTTCGGTGTCCTTGTTCAAGATGACTTTGGTTGTTCCAGATAATTTGAAAAGTCCTCGACGACTGGGAACCAACACGTCGGGCTGTTGCGACGGGCGTTTGGACAAATAAACAGCTCCGTATTTCGACAAATGCCCAGTGCGTATGTTCGTCCCCCCATGTCGAATACGCAGTTCAAGCCTAACATCCATGACTGAAACACGACCTTAATACACTGGAGGTGCCACAACGTCGGGTATCTAAGGACGTAATTGAAATGCGCAATCTTTCATACGAGGAGAGGCTGCAACGATTGGGGGTATTCAATGGAAGCTATCGCAGACTACGAGGCGACTTGATTTTGCGAGACCCACATTATGTGTGCCGCTCTTTACTGCGACTGAGCACCAATACAACCCTGAGGGGCCACTCATTTAAACTGGCTGTACAGTATAGTCCTCCTAGGGTGCCGCAGAAATTTCTTTTCCATTCTTGTCTGTCACCCGTGGAATGCTCTTCCAGAATCAGTCGTCTATGCACCAACATTAACAGTATATAAAAGGCGGTTGGACGATATACTTACTTACTTACCACTTACACTTTTTCACTTAGCGCTACGTCTCCATCCTACACCTAGAGTTTATCATGGAATTATTTGATGTGAACTGCTGGTGCTGTGAATCTAAGCAGACTGGAATGCTACGGCAGAGCAAACGGTAAGTACTTATTTTCATATTTGAAGCACTAACTGTTTTCCCATCATTATTATCAGTATTGTTATGTCGACATCCCCTTCAACTATCCAACGGGACTTGTAAAGCAACGCTTCTTAACCCGCATAAATTCATTGTTCATTGCTCTGAACGCTTGTGTTTTGATTTGGCACTACTGCCATGAGTTTTGCGTTCGTTGCATTATTGAAGGACTGACAATTTTCTGCCCTTTGATGACATCTAAACTGCGGTCGGCCTAAACATCTACCTTATGAATCAGCAAGCGTTGTGTTCGGGTGGTACATATTTACCTCTATTTATCCGAATTGTAATTCCACCTTTTCGGTTGTTCACTGGATCTAGTCGAGTGGATTACCTATGGCATTTCTGACGAACGCAATATAAATATCCTGTATACCCGCTGGAATATGCTCATTGCTAACAAATTCTGAACCAGGTAGTCGACCAGTCATCACATCACCACCCAATTATATGTGAGATTCAGATACCGCACACATTGCTTCCGGAGATGTCTTAGTGGTTAGTGTTGCCTGTTGATCCAGATCGCGCAGTGTATACGTTGAAAAAGTCATGTGAAAGGGAAACCTTGATTTGAAAAACGTCAGTTTCTCTTTGGCATTGCTTACGAAATCAGTGACAGTTCTTTGCTGATTGGCACGTCAATGGATAACTTGAGGTGAACAGCAACGGATAGCGGGATGATCACGTTGTTGATAAAGCCTTTTGTGCAGGTTATGCTGTGTCTAACTGCGACGAATCTACACAAAAACGTAATAAATCCCCTACTACTTACAAAGGTTATGCTCTATTTATTCTAAGAGAATAGTTCTGTTCGGACTCCTCTGTCTCTAGCTCTACTTCAGCGTTGACTATCAAAGCACTGTGGAATAGGTCCAGCTTCCATGCAATCTTTGTGAATCTCTTGGTGTTGATTATAGTCATCTATGGAAAATTATAGCAACTACATTTTTTAGAGTACTCGCCACTAGCAGTCATGGGTTCGATCCTCCGTAGAGGACCGAAGGATGCGCACCACTGACGAGCCCCAATAGGGCGAAACGGCCGTCTGGTGCTTTTCCGGAGAGGTAATGGACTTATCTGAATTGTCGGCTGATTGCGACGAACAAAAATACTCGCCAAAATCCTTCTACTCATAAGTAGTACAAATTTGCCCTTACGGATTCCATAAAAATGCTATGTCGATTCATAGCTGCCGTAGCCGGGAAGTCCTGACGCCGGAAGGCCAACCGCTGTCATCTGCATGGCAGGTGCCTGCATGGCAGTGGAGGATGGGTCGGGCTATATCGCAATTAACCAACAATTCGTGATGGTCGGCTACCGTCCTCCATGGCTCAGTTGCATAACGCAACGGGCTAGTTGGCGCAAGCCACTAGCAGTCATGGGTTCGATCCTCCGTAGAGGACCGAAGGATGCGCACCACTGACGAGCCCCAATAGGGCGAAACGGCCGTCTGGTGCTTTTCCGGAGAGGTAGTGGACTTATCTGAATTGTCGGCTGATTGCGACGAACAAAAATACTCGCCAAAATCCTTCTACTCATAAGTAGTACAAATTTGCCCTTACGGATTCCATAAAAATGCTATGTCGATTCATAGCTGCCGTAGCCGGGAAGTCCTGACGCCGGAAGGCCAACCGCTGTCATCTGCATGGCAGGTGCCTGCATGGCAGTGGAGGATGGGTCGGGCTATATCGCAATTAACCAACAATTCGTGATGGTCGGCTACCGTCCTCCATGGCTCAGTTGCATAACGCAACGGGCTAGTTGGCGCAAGCCACTTGCAGTCATGGGTTCGATCCTCCGTAGAGGACCGAAGGATGCGCACCACTGGCGAGCCCCAATAGGGCGAAACGGCCGTCTGGTGCTTTTCCGGAGAGGTAGTGGACTTATCTGAATTGTCGGCTGATTGCGACGAACAAAAATACTCGCCAAAATCCTTCTACTCATAAGTAGTACAAATTTGCCCTTACGGATTCCATAAAAATGCTATGTCGATTCATAGCTGCCGTAGCCGGGAAGTCCTGACGCCGGAAGGCCAACCGCAGTCATCTGCATGGCAGGTGCCTGCATGGCAGTGGAGGATGGGTCGGGCTATATCGCAATTAACCAACAATTCGTGATGGTCGGCTACCGTCCTCCATGGCTCAGTTGCATAACGCAACGGGCTAGTTGGCGCAAGCCACTAGCAGTCATGGGTTCGATCCTCCGTAGAGGACCGAAGGATGCGCACCACTGACGAGCCCCAATAGGGCGAAACGGCCGTCTGGTGCTTTTCCGGAGAGGTAGTGGACTTATCTGAATTGTCGGCTGATTGCGACGAACAAAAATACTCGCCAAAATCCTTCTACTCATAAGTAGTACAAATTTGCCCTTACGGATTCCATAAAAATGCTATGTCGATTCATAGCTGCCGTAGCCGGGAAGTCCTGACGCCGGAAGGCCAACCGCTGTCATCTGCATGGCAGTGGAGGATGGGTCGGGCTATATCGCAATTAACCAACAATTCGTGATGGTCGGCTACCGTCCTCCATGGCTCAGTTGCATAACGCAACGGGCTAGTTGGCGCAAGCCACTAGCAGTCATGGGTTCGATCCTCCGTAGAGGACCGAAGGATGCGCACCACTGACGAGCCCCAATAGGGCGAAACGGCCGTCTGGTGCTTTTCCGGAGAGGTAGTGGACTTATCTGAATTGTCGGCTGATTGCGACGAACAAAAATACTCGCCAAAATCCTTCTACTCATAAGTAGTACAAATTTGCCCTTACGGATTCCATAAAAATGCTATGTCGATTCATAGCTGCCGTAGCCGGGAAGTCCTGACGCCGGAAGGCCAACCGCTGTCATCTGCATGGCAGGTGCCTGCATGGCAGTGGAGGATGGGTCGGGCTATATCGCAATTAACCAACAATTCGTGATGGTCGGCTACCGTCCTCCATGGCTCAGTTGCATAACGCAACGGGCTAGTTGGCGCAAGCCACTAGCAGTCATGGGTTCGATCCTCCGTAGAGGACCGAAGGATGCGCACCACTGACGAGCCCCAATAGGGCGAAACGGCCGTCTGGTGCTTTTCCGGAGAGGTAGTGGACTTATCTGAATTGTCGGCTGATTGCGACGAACAAAAATACTCGCCAAAATCCTTCTACTCATAAGTAGTACAAATTTGCCCTTACGGATTCCATAAAAATGCTATGTCGATTCATAGCTGCCGTAGCCGGGAAGTCCTGACGCCGGAAGGCCAACCGCTGTCATCTGCATGGCAGGTGCCTGCATGGCAGTGGAGGATGGGTCGGGCTATGTCGCAATTAACCAACAATTCGTGATGGTCGGCTACCGTCCTCCATGGCTCAGTTGCATAACGCAACGGGCTAGTTGGCGCAAGCCACTAGCAGTCATGGGTTCGATCCTCCGTAGAGGACCGAAGGATGCGCACCACTGACGAGCCCCAATAGGGCGAAACGGCCGTCTGGTGCTTTTCCGGAGAGGTAGTGGACTTATCTGAATTGTCGGCTGATTGCGACGAACAAAAATACTCGCCAAAATCCTTCTACTCATAAGTAGTACAAATTTGCCCTTACGGATTCCATAAAAATGCTATGTCGATTCATAGCTGCCGTAGCCGGGAAGTCCTGACGCCGGAAGGCCAACCGCTGTCATCTGCATGGCAGGTGCCTGCATGGCAGTGGAGGATGGGTCGGGCTATATCGCAATTAACCAACAATTCGTGATGGTCGGCTACCGTCCTCCATGGCTCAGTTGCATAACGCAACGGGCTAGTTGGCGCAAGCCACTAGCAGTCATGGGTTCGATCCTCCGTAGAGGACCGAAGGATGCGCACCACTGACGAGCCCCAATAGGGCGAAACGGCCGTCTGGTGCTTTTCCGGAGAGGTAGTGGACTTATCTGAATTGTCGGCTGATTGCGACGAACAAAAATACTCGCCAAAATCCTTCTACTCATAAGTAGTACAAATTTGCCCTTACGGATTCCATAAAAATGCTATGTCGATTCATAGCTGCCGTAGCCGGGAAGTCCTGACGCCGGAAGGCCAACCGCTGTCATCTGCATGGCAGGTGCCTGCATGGCAGTGGAGGATGGGTCGGGCTATATCGCAATTAACCAACAATTCGTGATGGTCGGCTACCGTCCTCCATGGCTCAGTTGCATAACGCAACGGGCTAGTTGGCGCAAGCCACTTGCAGTCATGGGTTCGATCCTCCGTAGAGGACCGAAGGATGCGCACCACTGACGAGCCCCAATAGGGCGAAACGGCCGTCTGGTGCTTTTCCGGAGAGGTAGTGGACTTATCTGAATTGTCGGCTGATTGCGACGAACAAAAATACTCGCCAAAATCCTTCTACTCATAAGTAGTACAAATTTGCCCTTACGGATTCCATAAAAATGCTATGTCGATTCATAGCTGCCGTAGCCGGGAAGTCCTGACGCCGGAAGGCCAACCGCTGTCATCTGCATGGCAGGTGCCTGCATGGCAGTGGAGGATGGGTCGGGCTATATCGCAATTAACCAACAATTCGTGATGGTCGGCTACCGTCCTCCATGGCTCAGTTGCATAACGCAACGGGCTAGTTGGCGCAAGCCACTAGCAGTCATGGGTTCGATCCTCCGTAGAGGACCGAAGGATGCGCACCACTGACGAGCCCCAATAGGGCGAAACGGCCGTCTGGTGCTTTTCCGGAGAGGTAGTGGACTTATCTGAATTGTCGGCTGATTGCGACGAACAAAAATACTCGCCAAAATCCTTCTACTCATAAGTAGTACAAATTTGCCCTTACGGATTCCATAAAAATGCTATGTCGATTCATAGCTGCCGTAGCCGGGAAGTCCTGACGCCGGAAGGCCAACCGCTGTCATCTGCATGGCAGGTGCCTGCATGGCAGTGGAGGATGGGTCGGGCTATATCGCAATTAACCAACAATTCGTGATGGTCGGCTACCGTCCTCCATGGCTCAGTTGCATAACGCAACGGGCTAGTTGGCGCAAGCCACTAGCAGTCATGGGTTCGATCCTCCGTAGAGGACCGAAGGACGCGCACCACTGACGAGCCCCAATAGGGCGAAACGGCCGTCTGGTGCTTTTCCGGAGAGGTAGTGGACTTATCTGAATTGTCGGCTGATTGCGACGAACAAAAATACTCGCCAAAATCCTTCTACTCATAAGTAGTACAAATTTGCCCTTACGGATTCCATAAAAATGCTATGTCGATTCATAGCTGCCGTAGCCGGGAAGTCCTGACGCCGGAAGGCCAACCGCTGTCATCTGCATGGCAGGTGCCTGCATGGCAGTGGAGGATGGGTCGGGCTATATCGCAATTAACCAACAATTCGTGATGGTCGGCTACCGTCCTCCATGGCTCAGTTGCATAACGCAACGGGCTAGTTGGCGCAAGCCACTAGCAGTCATGGGTTCGATCCTCCGTAGAGGACCGAAGGATGCGCACCACTGACGAGCCCCAATAGGGCGAAACGGCCGTCTGGTGCTTTTCCGGAGAGGTAGTGGACTTATCTGAATTGTCGGCTGATTGCGACGAACAAAAATACTCGCCAAAATCTTTCTACTCATAAGTAGTACAAGGACGCTCTATTTGGGGAATCAAGCGCACACACAATGCGGTGGCTGGACCGTAATCCGCTCCACACTGAGTGCATGGAACCACTCTTCGAGCCTAACACGACCACAAGGACCGTGCACCCCGTCCCCTTCAGCAACGACCAACTGTCTCCTTGAGCCAGTATGAACGAGGTAGTAGGTAATAGACAGGTAGGATATACAGACCATCATACCGTGTTGATATCCAACCCCCACTCTGCTGGTGCCTACCGGGCACTTATTCGCTTGGCCGTCCAGAAATTTCTTTTGCCTGTGTGGATATTGTCATTTTTTCATAAATGAAAACACCACTTAGTTGAGTTTCCAATTTTTCTTACAGATGGTCAATCTTCAACTTGGTAGCACAGCCACTTCTCCACGCTCACAATCCTATGGTTACATGCAGGTGAAACCTGTGTGTTACACGTCGGATAAGTTCCGTGAGATTAAATCAAGTCGTGATGCAAACATTGCTGCCAGACGTGATCGACTGACTGGCGGCGTTGACCAGTGGGAATTTCTAAAGAGCAGTTTGCCCTACTCATTTTATGGCTATCGCATTTCGCCCCCGGAAATGGCAAATTCTGTAGGCATCCGATTGCAAAATATTTCACTTGGGACCCCGGAAGATGGTTTTTTCGCGGGCTCGAATTTTCTCGCTTGGTAATTACTCCACATTGTTTTATGCCTCGAACTCTCTGATAATCAGCGTCAACAGCAGCTTAAAGATACACTTCATACCACGAATCCATTTTGTGCTCGTATGTTTTTTAGGGGCAGTTTTTAAAATACGACTTAACGCATTCAATTAACATATTATTTATAGCTTTTTGACTGCACTTTCAAAAGGACGCTAATCCTTATTCTTTTGAACTCATTTTTCCCAGTCCAAATTTTTTCGGAGTCCTTGCAAAGGGACACCAGCATAAAGTGGGTTAATCTTCATCCGTTCCATGGTTGCGTAAGCACGGCTCGACTCCACGACCAGCGTGGTGAAAAGTGCACAACTTTACGAACTTTATTAGCATATTGTTACTTAACCTTCGTTACCCACTTATTTGGTGATCATTTTCTTAAGTTATGCCACTTCGACTTTTCTGCTTTTAGTTTCATTATTGGCTTGTCGTATCACTCCAAATATTGTGTACATGATTATTAGCTCTCGGCGCATGGGTCTTGCTGAAATGCAAATCAGCTATGCTCACTGATTTTCCAGCGATTCTGACATGACTAGACTTTAACATGGTGCCATGGTTTGCGTATTTTAGCAATCTATTAGGCTGCGCTGGGTAGTGCTTTTGCACCATCAGATCCACTCATACCATATTGGTCAATAGTCCGGTCTGACAAAATTAGTCTCCTGACTACCTAGGCTGAGGGTTGGAATGAGGGTTCCTCCTTACACCATAAAACGGGCTACCTATGGCTCATTGCAGAAACTCCGTTGCCTTACAGTCAGGTTTTTGAACCAAGGGCTTTCGTTGACACCCTAATCGTTCTTCTCTCTAGGCCTGGGCAACCTGGCAGTAACCTGACCACACTTTACAGTGGATTTCTCTTCAAACAGTTTCTTGATTCACTGGCCTTGGTAGAGGATAGTTAACGGCGTCCTATCCCCCCCCCCAATCAAGGAGGGCGGATGAAGGTGAGGATGCTGTTGCTCAGGCCTTCCAGTCATCTTATTCCCCTCCTAGCGCTTTTTCATCCTTATCCTCCCTATCCAGTCCAACTTTTATCCTCTCTTTTCAACCTCCTTCCAAATTTTCAGCCCTCATCCATCTTGTTTTATTTGTCTTTTGTTTCATACTTTCAACACAAGCAATCGCAAAGCGTCGCTCTGGCCCAGTCAACAAATCGAAGTTGAACTAAGCTGACGACTTCAGTTCATCAATTCCTATTTGGAGCCCTCGATCCTCCCTAAGACAGGCATGCCTCATCGTGGGCAATTTGTTGCAGATTGACCAACAAGCAGCACTTGCTCGAACACTAAAGATCTTATAGATCGATATTTGCCGCCTATCAGTAACCCGCCAGCAAGATTCGAGCTCCGTACTTACCCTGCCATCCACCACATGCGACACTGGCGGTCTTTCCTCATTGCGCTCGCCCTAAGATAGCCTCAAATGCTGGTCAAGCTGGTGAAGACAATGCAATGAGCCCCCTAGCCGAGGCTGCTCTGACCGATTGGATCCAATTGAATATTCGGATGTGCGCTGTCAGATTGGCCGCCTCGTTCAAAGCACCAAAGTGACGCGGGGATAAACGGTGCCTGTCTGTCATTGCAGTCTATATACCCACAAATTGTAGCGCAGACTCGGTGAGAGACTTCTATCCCCAATTAAACGCGCTCCTTCTTTACAGAAAAGGTGCGGATATCTTGGTGCTTGCTAGTGATTTGAACGCCTAAGTTAGAGAGCTGTTCATTAATGAGCTTCATCTGTGCGGCCAACATGGTGTAGGCTCCCGTAATGATAGAGGTGATTGCTTGCTACATCTGTGTGAAGATACTCGTTCCTTTCTCGCGATCATTAATTTCTGACACAGCACCCGCAATAGGGTGACATGGTGTTAACCCGCCTAAACCAGCGACGGACGCCAATCGACCACATCGCGATCAGTTAACGCTGGAGGATGTGTCCCAAACTATCGCTTGATTTGGAGCACGAGCGTGGACTCTGACCACGTACTTGTTTGCGCCGACTTGCGGGTGCATTTCGGCGAACATCAGCAACGGCTCTGTGAGCGCATCGACAGTTGTCAACTGGCGAAGCCATATGTTCTGAATGCTTATCGAAGTACGCTGGCATCCGGGCTGGGTAGATGCCTACTGTACACCGTTGAAGATCACTGGTCGCATCTTCGTCAGACGTCATTACCAGCAGGTATGTCTTCATTTGCCAGCTCAGATTGTCAACCTGGACATTAGATGTCTACACACTCTTTGGAATTTCCGAATGCTCGTCGACGTGTTCCGGCTGGAAACGAACCAAATGAGACTCTCAAAAATCTCTAGGCAAAACTGCTTACTAACCCAAAGAGAGACCGCGAAACGTAATTATCTCATCGTGTATCAGACATGGTAACAGCCCCTGTACTTGGTAACCATCTTAACGCAGCAGGAGACCTGATGTTAGCAAGCCCACACGCGACGAGAGTGGACAGCCGATCCACAGCTCATAAAAACGCTAGAAGGGTTGTTCGGAACACTTTGAAAAACTGTTTAATCAACCAGAGTTATCATCTTGCTTTTTGAGCCTTGCTCGCCGTTCTCCATTGGATCCACCATTAGGCACAGAAATCGAACTAGAGATCATACGGGAGCAGATAGACCCCTTCCAGCCCATTCATATAAGAGGGACAATACCTAATAGGTTTTTTTGCACAACTTATCGATTGGAGCCGATCTGTCATAACACCAATTTTCAATGGGGGGGGGACACCTTCCGAATGCGGCAATCGTAAAGTGATCAGTCTCATCATAACTGCCTCTAAAATGATTGCGTCTGTCGTTTTTCATATACTTGCTAGCACGATTAAGTGCCGGACTCGCGAGGAAGCCGGGTTTCTTCGAAATCGAGGCCGTATGGATCACATCTTTGCGTAAGTTATTAGAACTCTGCCATATGTATAGGCGATCCACCATAGTTGTGTTCCTCGACATTGAAGGTGCCTTCGGTTCCGTGAATTGATATGACTCTTGGGAAGATCTACTCAAGAAAGGTATGCCCGAGATATAAGTACTCATTAACATAGTGCCCAACGCGCGCAGTTCAGCCAGAGTGAGTGGTTACGGCAAACGGTCGCCGCCATTTAATGTCTCCAGCGGTGTGGGACAAGGATGCCCCCTATCACTTTACCTTTCAAACGACGGAGTTATGGGGACGGCACTCACTGGACACGAATTACCATATTTGAAACAGCTTTTATATCATCGATTCCTTGATTTTATGTACGCCGGTGACATCGCCCTAATTTGTGACATGCGAAACCGCACTGGACAACTTAGCATTTGCTGTCAGTCATTTCAAGCTGTCCTTTGTATAATTTGAATGCAAAATCTTTCCCCTAAGTCTGCGACGACCCACCCATGCTCAACAAGAAGTCATTTAGAAATTCTAGTATCCAGGCACCTATATCAGCACTGGTGGAATTAAAGGAGATCGCTAACCGTATAGCAAAAACACGATAGACTGATGATCTCCGCCACCTGTGACGCTGGCGCGACATCACTCTCTCCCTGAAGTGCAGAGTTTACAATGCAACTGTTCGTTCAACGCTGCTGTTTGGCTACAAATCTTGGCTCATAAAATCAGTATAGATGAAGCGGCTAGTTACGTCGGGTCATCGCTGCCTTCGCAGCCCAGCTCATGTCTGGTGAGATCACAGCGTTAGGAACGAGCGTGTTCAGCGTCTTCTTTATGGCACAGGAAGAGCAAGCGAATCGATCAACGCCGTTATTTCACGCACCAGGCTCCGATGGCTGGTCCATGTTTCGCGCATGATGGCACATCGACGTCCGCGCCGTGCGTTGTTTGCGCGACCGATGTGGACGGAAGAAAAGTAGGGGAGATCAAACGACGACTTTGTCAAAACTAATGAAGACAGTAACTTCTAACTTGGCGTCGGTTGGTGTTATCTGACTACCGGACTGGGATCTGAAGGATGGTGAACATGTTTGGTTAGGTGCACTTGTTGACATGGCGAAGAGCTGGCCTCACTGGCGTTTCTGTTGTGAGTTTCCTTGTCCCTCCCCGTCTGACCTGTCTTCCCATCCAACCATGTTCTCACACCTAATGCTTATTAGTACACTAGGAAAACTATTACTTTTTGTTTCTCATGTTGTATTCTATATGACTTTATATCACCATTTTTCATGTTTTATGTTCTTGCATTGCGGCACAATAGTTGAATTGCCAACATGTAATCATAATGATCATGACTGGTTTTCCGGTGTTTCCCACAGCTGCGAGAGTTTTGTCGTCTCTTTGTGTCCACACGCATTGCTTTCAAATATCTGTTAGTTCCTTCTAATCGATTTACTCCGTTTGCTAGACCATGACCACGCATAATTTGTTGCACGGATCGTTGGGGGGATATTTGTGTCTTTGGAACGCCGAGCTGCACTTAGAGGAATTCGTAGAAATCAGAATAGCGATTACTTATGGCTTAGTGATATAATTGAAACTCCCTGCAATTAATCTTTTAACTTTGATCCGAGTGATGCAGTGCAGTGAACTCTAACATCATGGTTCACTCGACTATAATAATATAAGGCTAGGCTGCACAACAAATAACCGACAGACATTACTTCGGCGCAACTGGTGTCAAATCGTTGGTTACAAAATACTAGGAACCAAATGCAAAGCTTCTGTTTGCTTCGTCCTGCACTGTTTAGCGGGGGTTATTATAACTAATTTTAGCCGCTTCGGAGGTGCCCCTTATGAAACTAGTGCTCCAGATTTATACGAATTCCCAATAACTTCCTTCCTGACCCGGTAGCTTACGGGTGATTGTCCCAATCGCCTCGGGTTCGATGCCTACTGCCTCTATCTGATGAGCTCAAATAAGATCAAAATTCATCATGGTGTGCGGTGTTTTCGGGCGCGCAACACCCAATTTCCATGTGTTTCAGCTACGGTCCTAGTGATCAAATGACCAAAGTTTATT